ACAGGCTAGGAGAAGAAAACTGACTCACTCCTGCTCTTCTCAGGTCCAGTGTGTATAACACACCAGCACACACACACACACAGACACACACAGACAAACACAAAGACACACACAGACACACAGACACACAGACACACACGGAAACACAAACACACACACAGACACACACATAGACAAACACACACTGAGAGACACACACAGACATACACATAGACACACACACAGACGAACACACACACAGACACACACTCAGGGACACACAAAGACACACACAGACACACACACACACAGATACACACAAACGCTCACACAGAGACACACACTCAGGGACACACCAACATACACAGGTAAACACACAGAGACACAGGTACACACACAGATACACTCAGAGACACACAAACATACATACACAAGCACATGTACACGAACACACACAGGCACACACAGATGCACACACACACATAGACACACACACAATAAAAATGTAATAAATGTTTTTTTTTGGTTTTTCGAGACACGGTTTCTCTGTGGCTTTGGATGCTGTCCTGGAACTCGCTCGGTAGTCCAGGCTGGTCTCGAACTCACAGAGATCCACCTGCCTCTGCCTCCTGAGTGCTGGGATTAAAGGCACGCGCCACCAACGCCCGGCTAAATGTAATAATTTTTAAAATGTCAGCAAGTGGATTCTGGTCTGGAGCCTCTGGGAAGGAACCAAACAAGCCAAGTCTGGACTTCTTGCTGCAATCTCAGATAACCACTCCTACTATTTTTGTGTTAGAGATGACATCTGAACTCAAACCTTTCTGAGCTGGAATCTTAAGGCATTTTTTTTTTTAGGGGGAGCTGGGTGTCATAGTCTTTTTCTCTTTCAGTGCTAGGACAGGACCCAGGGCCCGTGCCCGGCAAACAGTCTCCCTCTACAGCATTCCAGAGTCTCTTGAATCTATGCAGTTTGAGATTATTCCAGGTATTTCGTTATCAGATACGTAAAATCTCTCCCTACAGGGCTGTGTGTGTGTTTAGGAGTCGTCAACGAGTCGAGAAACTGATTGTCCTCGGGGTGTGGTGCGGCATGTCTGCAATGCCAGTCATTGGAGGATGAGGCAGGAAGGATGTGTGAGCTGAGCCTGGAGGAGCCTGGAAAGAGAGGAAGAGCAGACAGAGAGGAGGAGAGAGGCAGAGAGAGAGAAAAGAGACACAGACGGAGAATATTCGTGCCAGACGCTGCGGGCGTTTTCATGGCTGCCTCCCTCTGTCTCTTTGCCCATTGTTTTCATGGCTGCCTCCCTCTCTCTCTTTGCCCATCTCCCTCCATGTCTGTGACACAGGGTCTCGTGTATCCCCGGATGAACTCAAATTCCCGTGAATTTCTGCTCCTCCTGCTCCACCTCCGCAGGTGTGCAATTCCACATCCGGTTAAGGTGGTGCTGGGGGCAGAAACCCGGCCTCTATGAATTCTAGGCAAGCGCTCTACCAACTGAGCTACAGCCATAGCCCTGTTTATTTGTGACTAGAGTCTCTGAGGAGGCTGTCCTGGAACTCACTCTGCAGACCAGGCTGGCCTCGAACTCACAGAGATCCGCCTGCCTCTGCCTCCCGAGTGCTGGGATTAAAGGCGTGCGCCACCAACGCCTGGCTATGATTTTGTTTTTTTGATACAGAGTCTCACTGCCGACCTCTGACAGGCCTGGAACTTTCTGTATACACTGAGCTAGCCTTAAACTTGCTGCAGTCCTCTTATCTCTGCTTCCTGAGAACTTGGGCTGGGCTGACAGGCATGCATAAACATAGTGTGTGTGTGTGTCTGTCTGTCTGTCTGTCTGTCTGTCTGTGTCTCTGTGTGTGTGTGTGTGTGTGTGTGTGTGAGTGAGTGTGTGTGTGTGTCTGTGTGTGACAGTGTGTGTCTGGTTCTTTCTTGGGTCTCACTATGCAGCCCTGGCTGGTCCCGAACTCACTCTCTAGAGCAGAACTGGCTTCAAATTCACAAAGATCCGCCTGCCTCTGCCTCCTGAATGCTGAGGTTAAAGGCGTGCTGTCAGCACCGCCAGGCACACCCAAACTTTATTATTAGCTTGCTGATACTTAGCATCTTTTTCTCCTTCCTGGTCCGAAGACCTCACAAGATTTCCCAGTACCACAGGAAACCATCCCAAGTCTTGGTGGCATCCTAGATCTTTGGGCTTTACTGTGTTTTGTTTTGTTTTGTTTCTTCTGGCTGCCCCTCTCTGACCTGCACTTCCACACCGCAGGTTTTGGGATGGCCCCGACTCAGCAGATTCTCGCACATCCTCTTTCTAAGCTATGGACACTTCTCTGTGAGCTTTCATCCCGCCTCCCCGATTCCCACAAACACCGGCTACAGTTGCTGGTTGGCCATCGTTGCTCCCGCCCCCCACCCCATCTATTTATGTGTTCTCGTTTGGGAGAGGCGCAGCTACATGTGCTAGAGTGTATTCCTGTATATGCTCATGTATGTGGAAGCCGTGGGACCGCTTCAGGTGTCCTTTCTCGGGGACCACCCACCTTGAATTTCGATATAGAGTCTGGAACCAGCCCCGCACTTAGGAAGTAGACTATGCTGGCCTGGCCAATGAGCCCCACCAGATTCTCTGACATTGGGAAGACTGGCAAGCCACTAAGGCCAGTTTTGCTTTGTTTTGTTTTTCTTCGAGACAGGGTTTCTCTGTATTGTTTCGGAGGCTGTCCTGGAACTCGCTCCGTAGACCAGGCTGGCCTCGAACTCACAGAGATCCGCCTTCTGAGTGCCCAGCTGGAGTCCATTTTGTACCTGCCAACTACTCATGGGCATGGGGCCCCTCCTTGGACTGTGGTTGATAAATCCATGGCGCTCCATTGGGGAAAACTGATTTTGCCTTTCTCAGGAGGGATCAATGGCAAATGGCTTCTTGGTTAGCAAGGGACTTTGTGTCTACTGCCTTTTCTCAGTTCTGGGATTTTTGTGTGGCTATCTATTAAATTAAAAAAACAATTAGCTGGGTGTAGTGGCCTAAGCCTTTAATCCCAGCATCCAGGAGGTAGAAGCAGGTGGGTCTCTGTGAGTTCCAGGCCAGCCAGAGCTACAGAGAGGCACTGTCTCGATAAATAAATAAATAAATAAATAGGGGCTGGAGAGATGGCTCAGCAGTTAAGAGCACCGACTGTTCTTTGAAAGGATCGGGGTTCAATTCCCAGCACCTACATGGCAGCTCATAAACTGTCTGTAACTCCAGTTCCAGAGGACCTGACATCCTTACACAGGCAAAACACCAATAAACAAACCAACAAACCAACAATAAATAAAATGCATAGGTATTGTGTGTGTTTCGGGTGGAGTACTTATGCCATGGTGTGTGTGTTTGAAGAGGTCAGAGGTTGGCTTTGTGGTGTGTGTGTGAGCTGTCTCCTATCTTCACCCGGGTTCCAAGAATTGAGCTTGGGTTGCCAGGCTTACATGGCAAGTGTCTTTTTCTTTTCTTTTTTTTTTTTTCTTTTCTTTTTTTCTTTTTGGTTTTTCCAGACAGGGTTTCTCTGTGGCTTTGGAGGTTGTCCTGGAACTAGCTCTTGTAGACCAGGCTGGCCTCGAACTCACAGAGGTCCACCTGCCTCTGCCTCCCCAGTGCTGGGATTAAAGGCGTGTGCCACCAACGCCCAGCTTAAGTGTCTTTTTCTTTTACTATTAAATATTTTATTTATTTTTATGTACATTGGTGTTTTGCCTGCATGTGTGTCAGTGTAAGGGTGACGGGTCCCCTGGAACTGGAGTTACAGACAGTTGTGAGCTGCCCTGTGGGTGCTGGGAATTGAACCCAGATCCTCTGCAAGAGCAGCTAGTGATGTGACCACTGAGCCATTTCTCCAGCCCCATGGCAATGCGTATCAATACATTCTTTACATTCTTTTTTTTTTTTTGAGACAGGGTTTCTCTGTGGCTTTGGAGGCTGTGCTAGAACTAGCTGGTCTTGAACTCACAGAGATCTGCCTGCCTCTGCCTCTGCCTCCTGAGTACTGGGGTTAAAGTCAATGTATTAATACCTCCTTAGGAGCAGAGTTCCAATCAATGTTTACCACTACAGAGGATTGACTCAGGTCCTTGCACAGACTGGTAAATTGCTCTACCACTGATAACAGCTCATGACAAGCACATGAACCTCAAGAATAAGTACAAGGTTGGGCATGAGGGCAGAGGCCTTTAACCCCAGCACTGGGGAGGCAGAGGCAGATAGATCTCTGTGAGTTCCAGGTCAGCCTGGTCTACAGAGCCAGTGCCAGGACAGCCAGCGGCTGTTACACAAAGAAACCCTGTCTCAAATAAATAAATAAAAAAGAAGGCTCAGAAGTTAAGAGCAGTTGCTGCTCTTCCAAAGGACCTGAGTTTGGTTCCTGGCATCCATGTTAGGTCACTCACAACCAGCTGTCATTCCAGGCCTTAGGGTATCTGACATCTTTTTCTGGCCTCCAAGGGGTTAAGTCTCTGTTAGGTGTCACCTGACAGAGAATTGAAAAGAAAGAAGCCAGTGGGGTGACTCAGCAGATAGAGGTGCCTGCCACCATATATGAGGACTTGAGTTCAGTCCCTGGAATCCACCTGGTAGGCAAGGACAGACTTCTACAAGATGTCACCCTTTGACCTATGCAAACACGACAATGCGCACATGTGCCCCCCCCCATATCGAGTAATCAAGTAGCTAGTTATCATCACGCATCTCTAATCCCAGCACTCGGGAGGCAGAGGCAGGCGGATCTCTGTGAGTTCGAGGCCAGCCTGGTCTACAGAGGGAGTTCCAGGACAGCTCCAAAGCTACAGAGAAAACCTGTCTCGAAAAACCAAAAAAAAAAAAAAAAAAAAAAAAGAAGAAGAAAAGAAAAGGAGTTGCTGAGGGAGAAGGGGATTAGGGTCTAGACTTCCGATTCCTCAGAGAAAGGTGAAGCGATTACCCAAACATGAGGGCACAAAGAGGGGACGAGCTTGAGAAGGAAAACAGCAGCTGGCTCTTTAATGATTGCTGCTAGTTATTGCTTTTATTTATTTATTTTGCAAGTGCCATGACAGGAGATACCTTGTGGGAGTCAGACCTGTGCGTCATGTGTGTCCCAGACCCTGAACTCAGACACGGCCGCAGCTGTCCTTCTGTGCCGCCATCTCAGTGACCATTTCATTATTTTTATCATCACCCTTGTCTGTCTGGTGTGTGAAGCTCTGTGTGTGTGTGTGTGTGTGTGCGCGCGCGCGCGAGTGCGTGCACACGCATGTGTGACCGTGAACCACCATGTCAGAGCATGCGTGCAAGCCGAAGCCAGAGACGTCACGTGAGTTCTTTGCCATCGTTTTTTTCCCTTCAGGGTATGGTTTTTTTTTTTTTTGTTTTTTTTGAGACAGGGTTTCCTCTGTATTGGTTTGGAGGCTGTCCTGGAACTCGCTCTGTAGACCAGGCTGGCCTGGAACTCGCAGAGATCCACCCTTCAGGGTGTGTTAATTGGAAGGGAAGTTTGTCATCCTTCAGGGTAGGCTGGGCTCTGTACAATAGATATGGGCACAAACAGCCAAGCCGGTGTGGTGGGTGCCGAGTATTCCAACCCAAATTCTTGTGCTTGAATGACAAGGCTTTTATCCACTGAGCTGTCTCTCCGGGCCTTAATCCTCGAACGAGGAAGGCTGAGGCAGGAGGATCTTGCTTTTGAGGCCAGCCTCAGAGACATATTAGGTCCTACCTCAGAAGACAAAGAAACGAAGCGTGACCAACTGCTTGTGGGGGCGGGGATTTCAGGCGGAGCTCATCAGTACTCCGACCTTCCCCATCCGCACCCTGCCCGTTTGGGGGACCTCTGTTGGAACAGGAAAAGAAAGGCTGAGAGCTGGGTCACCAGGATCCCAGATCAAGCAACCCGAACGGACCACCTGCACCCAGAAAGCAGACACCCAGAACCAACAACTGACCTGGTGGTACAGGACTATACTTCCAGCCACCCCGGAGACCGAAGACAACAAATTCAAGTCAGCCTGGGCTGCAGCAGAATCCAGAGCTAAGAAACCTGCATTTGTGAGTAGGTAAAGGCAGCTCGACTCCAGAAGGGACACATCTGCATGCATTCTGGGAGGTTGTATCGTGTGTGCGTGTGTGTGTGCGTGGGGGGGGGGGTGTTGAAATGCTGGGGAACTCGGAGGTTGAACCCACAAAGCTGTAGGAAGGAAGTGAGGGGCTCCCTGAAGCTAGGGCGACACTTTTACACATCCGAGACAGGAAGTGGTAGTTTGCGTGTCCTATAGATAGTGACTGATTAGACCCAAGGCTTAGTATCGCATATACACTCAGCCTGGACTTTGCCTCTGTGGGAATGTGGAGGCCAGCCTTCCCTCGGCCACACCTGGAATCAAAGCCCGTCTTTCCTGATACTGTCACCCAGACATAAACGTATCAAGAGCGTCAAGAGACCTTGAGGGAACCTGGAGAGGTGAGGTCCTAGGGGAACCCAGAGACTGAGAGGTGGAGGTGTCAGAGGCAAGGAACCCAGGGAAACAGACAGACATCAGTTGATCAGAGGTGAGGAAGATACGGAAAACTGCCCGGAGCAAAGGCTGGTCGTCTCAACCAGTTTTCCAGCGAATGAGGCCACAGCAGATACCTCCAATCCCATATATCTGAGGACTGCTTTGTGACCTGCGAGACCCAGCCTCTCCGCTTCTCCAGAGCCCAGCATGTGGAGCTACCTGTCCTTCCTGCCCGTCTTCCTAGCTCTGTGGGCTATCGCTGGCATCTGGATCGTGTAAGCCGCGGAAGCCCAAAGGATGCTTGGGTCTGAGGGACCAGGGCTGGGGATCTGGACTCTTGGGCTTGATGGAGGGCTGGAGATTAGACTCCTGGAGGGAGGAGGGCAGGCTGGCTGTTAGACGCCTGTGTGACTGAGGACGGGGGCCACAAGTCTGTCAACGAAGTGATGTGTTTTGTTTGGTGAACTGGAGGGAGAGCTATCCCTAAGAGCCCCTTACTGACTTCCTGTATCCTCTCCACCTCAGCTTTGCAATCGCCGTGGTTAACAGGAGCGTGGACCTCCAGAAGGACTTCCCCTTTATCAGGTTGTTGTGGCTGAGGGGGTAGTGGGGGAGGAAAAACGGAGGGTCTTATCTCGGAGGAGCCAAAGGATGACGCTGTTAATCTTCTGCAGTAACTGTGGGTCTTATGCTCCCCAGAGCTGTATTTTCGGCCAAATCCTCAATACGGGAGCTGCTCTAGGTAAGTATTTCCAGGCTTTTCCTTTTACTGCCAGCCCAAAGCTGTCTCAAGGGCCCCTAGCTCTTCCTAACCCCAGATCGGGACAACTAGCCCCTCTCCCCCTGTCCCCCAAAGTTAGGAGTCCACCACCTCCCAGCCCTCTTCCCTCTGACCCAAGGTTCGGGCCCCAGCCCCCTTCCCTTAGACCCCAAAGCGCTGTACCTCCCAATCCCTTCTCCCCTTCTCCTGCCCTGATCCCCGACCTCAGTCTCTTCCCGTTCCCAGTCGTCCCCTTCAGCTGGGAACCCTGTAGTGAGTCTGACTCTTGCCTATGTTTTCCTAGCTGTTTGGATCTGCATTGTGCGGTATCATCAACTCCGGGATTGGGGCGTCAAAACGTGGCACAACCAGTTGGTTCTGTGGTCGGGACTCCTCTGTGCCCTGGGAACTTCCATAGTAGGCAATTTCCAGGTGAGAAGCGCTGAGAGCCAATCTGGGGTCAGCCTCCGGAAACCGGACTACAATTCCTTCTGTTTCCCCGCGGCTTCTAGGGACTCCTTCTACGGAGTGGGCTCGCAAGGCTTTCTGGGACTTGTAGTTCTTGTTACTCTTGGACCACGCTGGCGCGTAAGGGGTTTTGTAGGGAAAGCAAAGGCTAGGCTATGTACCCAGAACCGTGTGGAACCTCCCTCGGAGGCTGGGAGAATTTTATTGCAGCCACCAATCTCCGTTCCATTTAATCATGAAATTATTGCGGTCGGTACAATGGTTGAGGTTTCTCTCGATACAGAATCGCCACAGAATTCTATTCAGTCCCCTTGGCTGTACCCTAAAAGAGCAAGCAGCTTGCCTGTGGGTGGTCAGAAACGAGCCGGGATTCACAGACTCTAGTTCCGGCATTCATGAAGCTGTAGAATGAATAGACAAAGGACAGGAAAAATCTCACAGGTTTATTTTGTTGCTGCATTTTATGTCCTGTCTCTGCTATATCCAGCCTCCAGCGGAAGGCTGGTGAGGTGCAGGGTGGGTGAGAGACCACAGGATGTTCAGAACGCCTCCACTCGTCATTTGCTTAACAATTTATTTGCTTGCTCATTTACGCCTATGTTCCTCAACCTACTACTATGTTATTGTTATTATATTCCTTCTTTAAGAACATTTTTTTTCTAAGTCGGGCTGTGGTAGTGCACGCTTTTTTTTTAAAGATTTATTTATTATTATTATGTATACAGTGTTCTGCCTGCCAGACCTCATTACTGATGGTTGTGAGTCGCCATGTGTGGTTGCTGGGAATTGAACTCAGGACCTCTGGAAGAGCAGTCAGTGCTCTTAACCTCTGAGCCATCTCTCCAGTCCGGTAGTGCACGCTTTTAATCCCATCACTTGGGAGGTAGAGGCAGGTGGATTTCTGTGAGTTCGAGGCCAGCCTGTTCTACAAAGCTACATGGAGAAATACTGTCTCCAAAAACAAAATCAAAACAAACCAAAAGAACATTTTTTTTTTTTGGTCTGGCGGTAGTGGCATGCACCTTTAATCCCAGCAGGCTGATTTCTGAGTTCCAGGTAAACGTGGTCTACAGAGTGAGTTCCAGGACAGCCTGGGCTGTTACAGAGAAACTTTGTCTCAAAAAATCAACCAACCAACCAAGCAAACAAACAGCCACTTTTTAAGTTGTTGTTGAGGATCTAAAGTAGCCCAGGCCAGCCTGGAACTCAGTATGTACTGGGTTTGAATTCTCCCAGATCCTCCCGCCACCACCTCATGAGTCCTGGGATTCCAGGTGAGCCACACTCCTGTTGCGTGGACACAGGGAACCAAACCCACGCAAGTCCCCTGGACTGAGCTGCCTTCCCAGCCCCTAGTCCTTTTTATTGCCTTTCTAAGGAGCTTCCTGGGCTTTTCTCCAGTCTTCTCCCTTGACTGTTTGTTATATGGGAGAGTCTCATTGTTCATGTGTGTTGACCTTGCTGGGGTTATAGGGCAGTGCCACCACCCTGATCTTTCATGATTTTTTTTGTTTTTTGTTTTTGAAACAAGGTCTCTTTCTAGCTCAGGCAGCCCTGGAACTTACTATGTAGCCAAGATAGGATCCTGCTTCAGTTAAGATTACATCCGGCCTTATTAAAAGAAATGCTTATATACATTTTAAACGTGTATTTCTGTAAATCACAAACCTTTATCATATCTATGAAACCTTCCCTTGTCAAGTATTAAAATTTGGGAGCCATGCAGACGCTTTAGCATGTGAAGGCATCAAACCTGGTGAGCCCAGCTAAAGCCTCAGGACTCACACAATAGGAAAGAACTAACCCTTGTACCGTGACCTCTGACCTCCACGTGGGCTCTCCTTCTTCCCACAAAATAAGTTCAATTTTTGTTGTTGTTTTTGTTTTGAGACACAATTTTTTTGCATGGAGCCCTGGCCATCCTCAAACTCACTATATATATATATATATATATATATATATATATATATATATATATATAGTTTTTTTGTTTGTTTTTAGAGATAGGGCTTCTCTGTATTGTTTTAGAGGCTGTCCTGGAACTCGCTCTGTAGACCAGGCTGTCCTGGAACTCACAGAGATCCGCCTGCCTCTGCCTCCCTAGTGCTGGGATTAAAAGCGTGGGCCACCAACGCCTGGCTTCCAATAATTTTTTTAACCTCCAATATTTTTGGGGGTGGTGGTTTCTGGGAATGGTGGTTACAAACCTGCTCTCCTGGCACTTGGGAGGTGGAAGGAGGAGGACCAGGAGTTCAAGGTTATATGCGTCAAGTTCAAGGACGACCCGGGGTACATTTCCCTCTCCACCCTTTGAGAACACGAGATTGATTCTACTCCTGTTTCTTGAACAGCTGCTTCGTGGGATGTGCTGTTGTTGGCACTGAGTGTTGAGGACCTAGCAGTAAATTTCAGTTTAAATGGTTCAGTGTCTGGAGGACCCAAATTTGGCCCTAAGCATTCATCATTATTTGCAATTCCAACTTCAGTGGCTCTGGTATCTGCTTTCGACCTTCAGATGTGTGGCATGCACATATGTACAAAAAAAAAACTGATAAGCTGGGCGTTGGTGGCACATGCCTCTAAGCCCGGTACTCGGGAAAACCAAAAACCAAAACCAAAACAAAACCAAATAACTGGTAACTGCTTTGTGGAGTCTGATAGTTGGTGATAGGGTAGCAGGTGCTGCGTGTGTGTAAGTGTGTGTGTGTGTGTGTGTGTGTATGTGTGTGTGTAAGTACTTGCATCCTGCAACATGTGGGTAGAGGCCAGAGGACAAAAAAATTTTTTTTAATTTGGTTTTTCAAGACAGGGTTTCTCTGTATTGTTTTGGAGGCTGTCCTGGAACTCGCTCTGTAGACCAGCCCGGCCTTGAACTCACAGAGATCCGCCTGCCTCTGCCTCCTGAGTGCCGGGATTAAAGGCGTGCGCCACCACCGCCCGGCTAGGGGTTGCTTCTATTTGTCCTCTGCATAGGTAACCTGAAAGCATTTACTCGAGGAACCATCGAACCAGCCCTGGGGTTGGGGTTTCCAATGACATCTGTTGGACTGCTTCAAAGCCTCTACTTCCTGTCGTTTTCCTCCCCCACCATAAACTCATTTCCAATTCTCCTCCCTTCCCCCAGGAGAAGAACCAGAAGCCGGCACACTTGGCAGGGGCCTTTCTGGCCTTCATCCTGGGCAACCTGTACTTCTGGCTACAGTTCCTTCTGTCCTGGCTGGTGAAGGGCCTGCCCCAACCGGGGCCCCGCTGGCTTAGGCCTGTCCGCCTGAGTTTCTGCATCTTCTCCACCATCCTCATCGTGGCCAGTATCCTTTTCGGGGAGTAGGACTGGGTAAAGGCGCCTTTTCTGTGGGCTTGTCCCCTTGCTGTTTGCTGTGGGTTTCCCTTCATGGTGCGGAACTCGGAAACCAGGCATGGTGGCACAAGCCTGTGGTCCTAACACTGGGAGGGAGGATTGTGAGTTCGAGGCCAGCCTGGGCTACGTGGTAGGACTTGGTCTCAAAAGCAAAACAAATGTAACAGATAGCATTGCCTTTCGGAGGTCAGTTTGGTTGCCTAGGAACGTCACTTTCTCCAAGAGGAACTTCTGGTTTCTTTTCTTTTTTTTTAAAGGTTTATTTATTTATTATATATTTATTATATATACAGTATTCTGTCTGCATGTATGCCTGCAGGCCAGAAGAGAGTGCCGGATCTCATTACAGATGGTTGTGAGCCACCATGTGGTTGCTGGGAATTGAACTCAGAACCTCCGGAAGAGAAGTCAGTGCTCTTAACCTCTGAGCCATTTCTCCAGCCAAATTTCTGGTCTCTTATATCCCCAAGTGCCTCAGTTTCCTCTCTTATCAAATACAGGTGATTGAGAATAAGGCAAAAGGATCACCATGAGCTGAAGCTAGCCTGGGCTACTTAGTGAGACCTGTCCTAAAGAAAATGCAGGCTACCGGGTGGTGGTGGTGCATACTTTTAATCCCAGCACTCGGGAGGCAGAGGCAGGCGGATCTCTGTGAGTTCCAGGCCAGCCTGGTCTACAGAGCGAGTTCCAGGACAGCCTCCAAAGCCACAGAGAAACCCTGCAGATAGTTAACAAGTGTTGTGAGGAAGAACCACGCGCGGTGAGAAGCTTGTGGCAGACGGGCGTTCTGTTAATAACTCGCTGCCAGGGGCACCAGCCAGGTGTGTCAAGCATCCTGGGTGCTGTAGAGCCGCACCCAGACTCAGACAGGGGAAGTCTCTTGGCTGAGGTGAAAGTCCTGGCTGGAATTAGTGACGGGCTGCCGATGACCTGTACAGCTCCACAGGACCAGCGGCTCAACCATCATCTCCCAACCTGAGTGTTCTGATAACTGACCTGAAATGGCCTTAAGGGAAGGAGTATTTGCCCTGAATAATTAGATACGCTACTAACTAGAGCCAGTCAGGTGTGTGTGTGCGTGTGTGCGTGTGTGTGTGTGTGTGTGTGTGTGTGTGTGTGTGTGTGTGTGTGTGTGTGTGAGAGAGAGAGAGAGAGACAGAGAGGAGAGAGACAGAGAGAGAGAGAGAGGCAGACATGAAGGGAGAGAATGTCAGGCTAGCAATGTAGTCTAGACTGGCCTAAAACTTGCTGTATAGCCAAAGATCACCTTGAACTTTTGACGGTCCTGCCCTTACCTTCTAAGTGCTGAGATTCTAGGGTGTGGGCGACCATGACTTCTCTCTCTCTCTCTCTCTCTCTCTCTCTCTCTCTCTCTCTCTCTCTCTCTCTCTCTCTCTCTCTCTCTCTCTCCCTCCCTTCTGTCTTTCAGATTTATTTATTTCACTTGGAGGGTGTAAGTATTTTGCATACATGTACATATGGCATCTACATGCCTGGTACCTGAAGAGATCAGAAGGTGTTGGATCCCTTGGAATTAGAGTTGTGAATGGCTGTGAGCCACCACGTGGGCGCTGGGAATCAAACCCAGGTCCTCTGCAAGAGCAGTCTGCGCCCCTAACCACTGAGCCACCAGTCCCTGACTGCCATCTCCAACACCCCACCCTCCCCCAGACAGGGTTTCTCTTGTGTGTAGCTTTGGCTGCACTGGACCTCGCTCTGTACGCCAGGCTGGACTCAAACTCACACCCATTCGACTGTCTCTGCCTCCCCAAGTGCTGGAATTTAAGGGGTGTGCCGCCGCCACCACCCATCCGGAAACTGCCTTTTTTTTTTTTTTTTTTTTTGTTTTTTACGAGACAGGGTTTCTCTGTATTGTTTTGGAGGCTGTCCTGGAACTAGCTCTTGTAGACCAGCCCAGCCTCGAACTCACAGAGATCCGCCTGCCTCTGCCTCCCGAGTGCTGGGATTAAAGGCGTGCGCCACCAACGCCCGGCGGAAACTGCCACTTTTAAGAAGCTCTGCAATCCATGAGTGAAGCTAGACTGTGGGAACACTTGTAATTCACCAGGAATGCTGAGGCAGGAGGATCACCTCTGTGCCAGGGAGATCATCTGAAGAAGCGAAAGCTTTGTGGTCCACAGCTTGCCTAGGGAAGGTGCTGGGCTCCGTAGCTAGTCTCCCTCCAAAAAAACTGTTCTTCAGAAGCAGCTCTGGGAGGGTTTTCAGAGAAAGACTTACAGATCCACGAGAAAACAACATCAAGAAGAATGCGTAAAAGAGCTTAATGAAAAGATGTTTAACTTGATAGAAGATGACACGAGAGGGGAGGGGCATGGGAGTTCTAGAAAGAAAGGTAAGCTGACAAAAAAAGTTTTTTTTCTCTCCTCTCTATCTCTCTCTCCCTTCCTCCTTCCCTCCCTCCTTTCTCTCTCTTGACACAGGGTCTCACTATGTAACCCTGGCTGGCCTGGAACTCACTATGTAAACCAGGCTGGCTTCAAACTCACAGAGATCAGAGATCTACTTGTCTCTGCACGAGGCACCACCACCAGCAAAGTTTTAAGGAGTCAGTGAACCAAGCTAAAGCAGCGTGCGTGCGTGCGTGCGTGCGTGCGTGCGTGCGTGTGTGTGTGTGTGTGTGTGTGTGTGTGTGTGTGTGTGTGTGTGTGTCCCTTGGAAAGAGGAGCAGGTTTGGGGCACGGGAGATTCAGTCCTGCTAAGGAGCTAAAGTGGAAGAGGCTGTGGGTCGCGCCGGGGATGTCTTTAAGAAACTGCTTACCTGGGTAAGTAGGTAGAACGCTTGCCTGGTATACAGCAGGCTCTAGGTCCACCCCCAGTACTGAATACATAGGTTGTAGTGGCACTCGCCTAGAACCCCATCATTTGGGAAGTGGATACAGGGCTGGGATTTCTTTTTTCTTTTTTCGAGACTGGGTTTCTCTGTATTGTTTTGGAGCCTGTCCTGGAACTCGATCTGTAGACCAGGCAGGCTAGCCTCGAACTCACAGAGATCCACACAGGGCTGGAATTTCAAGGTCACCTTCAGTTACATCTCAAATTCAAGGCCGTCCTTGAGATGGCCTGTCTCAAAAAAAAGCCCAGACAAAGGGGAAAAATAAAACCCCAAGCAGCAATACAGCTGGAGGTAGCAGAAATAGCATTTTTCTTGGACTTGTTAGGAAAACAACCGGGTTCCTCATCTTGGGATCAGGAAGCATCCGCAGATTGGAAAGTGGGCTTGGAGCATTGGGCACTCCGCGCCTAATCAGAGTCACGTGGGCGGACAGACCGGAACAGATGGAGAAAGGGCAGGCTTTGGAGGGCACGGGGGATAACACCTAGGGTTCCTCAGAAGGGATGGGGGTGAGAAAGGGCATGCCAGTTACACCAGGGAACACCTCAGATGACCTAAGATGCATTTCTCCCGGCCCAAAGTGGCCACAGCGTCTGAGATGGGTGGTTGGGCCTTTCGCATGTGGCGTGGATCCTTGACACCGGCGTGAAGTGATCGTCCTGTACTCCCAGCGGATGCGCTCCGCCTCTGCTGCCTGCGAGTGGGCAGTGGCCATGCTGCTCTTTATGCTGTTTGGCCTCTTGGCCGTGGACTTCTCCAGCTTGCGCGGTTGCGTCCTCCACTTACAACCCAAACTGGACGCCAGCCACCCACAGGCTACCTCTGGGTCTCCGAACCTACAGATGTCACAGGCGCTCTGACTAGGAGGAGGATGGGGTCAACCTAGGCTCACCCAACGATGAACTAGAGGCTGGGCTGGACAGCCCGATGGACGAACGGCGGAGTGGAGTGATGCTCGCCACTCGAGAGGGCCAGCATCGTGGTCCCCACCGGTCCCTGTGATCGGAAGCGCCCGGGAACTGAGAGGAGAGGGCCAGCCAGCTGTCCCTGATCAAGGCTATTTATTAGTTTTGTTGTTGCCGCCGCTGCCGGCGGAATCAGACACAGACGCAGGCAGGGTCACGCGTAACCAGAATTCCTTCCGGGGAGAGCAAATCCGTACAGAAGGTTGGAACGGGAAGGGAGAAGGACCTGGTGGGGGTGGGAGAGCAGGGGCCCAGGAAGGGGAGTGGGGGCTGGGGATGACACAGAGACAGAGGACCCTGTCCGGATCTGCTAAGCCACCCCCAACCAGCTCCCATGCCTCCCCCACCCCACCCGCAAAGATTGATCAATAAATAAAATAATAAATTAATAAATAAATAGAAACAGCTCCCACCCCTTTTTGCCCTAGACCCTCCCCCCCATTGGGCACGGCCCCTGGAGCCCTATCCCTGCAGGGCAAGGCCAAGTTTTATGTCCCCCCTCCCAACATACGCCTTGGGCCTTATATACAGATTCACAGTAGGGGGGCAGGGAAGGGGGGTGGAGGGGGCTCCCCTCCTTCCCTGGCCCCCTGGGGTCAGGGTAGAGGGGTTCCATTGGTGGCCAGGAGCTTCTTGTCCTTGGGGGGTCCTCGGCGGGGATAGCTGCTCAGATCAGGGTCAGGGCGGCCTGGTGGGGGCTGCAGGCTTCGGGGTGGGGTACCAGCAGGCCGGGTCTGCGCTCCGTTCTTCTCGTCTGCGGAGGAAGAAGTAACTTGTACAGGCAGTCGGGCAGCTGAAACCAGCTTGAGCGTGTTGATCTCAGTAGCCCCGAGAAAACCAAAGTTGGCTGGCAGGATGGCCCAGTGGGTAAAGGTGTTTGTCACCAAGCTTGGTGGCCTAAGTTTGATCCCTGGGACCCACGCAGAAGGAAGAGGAGAGAGAGGAGTGACCGACCTCCCTCACACACAAATAAACAAATGCAATAGTAACAACAGCAATCATGGGGCTGGAGAGATGGCTCAGAGGTTAAGAGCACTGGCTGCTCTTCCAGAGGACCTGAGTTCAATTCCCAGTGACCACATGGTGGCTCACAACCATCTGTAATGAGATCTGGTGCCCCCTTCTGGCCTGTAGACATACAGGCAGAATACTGTATGCATAATAAATAAAAATCTTTAAAAAAAAACAAACCAGCAATCATAATAGAGACCAAATTCACCATTTGTGAGACTTCAATTCCACAGAAACACATCTCCTACAGGGGGCCCGTAAGTGCCTTGTAGCTTAGAAAAAAACCTGCCCAGTTTGTCTGAGGTCCAGGCCAGCCCACCCCAAGAAATTCTCAGTCTCAGAGGCAACCACAGGCAACTGCAGTACCCTTATCTACAACCGGGCATTTGTACAGGGATGGGACTCACAGTGTAGCCAACTGTTCTGGGGTCTCAGACCCTTCAGGTTCTGCCGACCTGAGGAAAGCCACACTTTGTACGCATGCATACAACATCAGAAGTCTATATAGACCAGGCTGTGTTCAAATGTACAGAGATCCGCCTGCCTCTGTCTCCCGACTCGGGACTAAAGATGTGTGGCCCCGTCGCCCGGTTTTATCTTATTTCTTACATCTGAAGTATTTATTTTGCGTGGGGACACACATGCCACAACCCATAAGTGGAGGTCAGAGGACAGTTTGGGGGACTTGGTTCTTTCACTGACCCTGGACTGGTTAGGGTTCCCCTGCCTCCTAGTGCTGGCATTACAGGGCTGGCTCTGTGTCGTGTCCCTGCCCCCCCCCCAGCTAAGAATAGGACCCGGCCTTGCTAGGCAAGTAGTCTGTCACTGAGCCTAAGCCAGTAGCTTTTTCACACGGCTTCTGGGGAGGAAACTCAGGGTTTCACGCTTGCACATCCAGCAATATACCTACTAAGCCATTTATTTCTCTGCACCTGAGCCCCTTTTAGAGATGTGACTTATTTTATGAGTGGCTTCCGGCATGTGTGTACCAGTGCGTGCCTGGTGACCACTGAGTTCAGAAGAGAACATCAGGTCTCCTAGAACTGGAGTTCTGGAGGGTTACGAGTCATCGAGTGAGTGCTGAGGGTCTTCTGCAAGCGCAAGTGTTCTCGACTGCTGGGTCATCTCTCTAGCACCTCCCCCCCCCCGTCTTTTTGATTTCTCTGGAGATAGGCTCTCACATAGCTCAGGTCGGCCGTGAACTCACTCTGCAGCAGAGGGTGACCTTGAACACCTGAGCCTCCCAAGTGGTGGTCTGGACTAGCATAACCGATGGGGGCCAGCCTGGTCTACAGATCGAGTCCCAGGACAGCCTCCAAAGCAATACAGAGAAACCCTGTCTCGAAAAACCAAAAAAAAAAAAAAAGAGTTCCCAGCACTCGGGAGGCAGAGGCAGGCGGATCTCTGTGAGTTCGAGACCAGCTTGGTCTACAGAGCGAGTTCCAGGACAGCCTCCAAAGCCACAGAGAAACCCTGTCTCGAAAAACCAAAAAAATAAAAAAAAGAGTTCGGGTGTGGAGGTCAGAGTAGTTGCAGGATTTGTTCTCCCTCCCCCCACGTGGGGCGTGGGGACCTAACTTAGGCTGTCAGGCTTAGTTGCAAGCACCTTTAGGCCTTGAGCTCTCTTGCCAGTCCCCACTACCTGAAGTTGCCTTTGTCCGGCAACCAGTCGTTTAGCTAATCCTCCTGGGCAGGGACACCGAGGCCTGAATAACCTTGTTGTGAGAGGTTCTCTGTGAGCTACAGGGTTTCTCAGCGTCCCTGGCCCCCGCCCACATGATGCCAATGACTTCTGCTGTCCACGCAGGCACTCCACGCACTGCCAAGCAGCTCCCCGGAGAGGCTGTGGTAGGCTGAATCATGCCGCCCCCCACAGATGCTCACATCATTAAAAGCTGGGGACCCGTGAAAACGTTGAGCTCATGTGTTGTGACTCAGGGTAATCCCTGTGTGGGGGGAGAATACCTGGGATTATCTGAGTAGACCCACTTTAGTCATAAAAGCCCTTAAATGACCCAGTCACTTCAAGGGCGGATACTGGCTCTGGAGGGTGTGGCCACAGGCGAAGGGAGGAGCTGCAGAGCCAGAGAGGACAGCTCTCAGGACAACAGGATGCCAGCCTGTGTGCCTCACGCCCAGGACAGCAGGATGAAAAGCCTGTATTGTTGTAGGGACACTTTTGAGGTCATCATCATCTTTTGCTTTTTTTTTTTTTTGGTTTTTCGAGACAGGGTTTCTCTGTAGCTTTGGAGGCTGTCCTGGAACTCACTTTGTAGACCAGGCTGGTACTCAGGATGGCCTTGAGTTCGTGGCAATCTTCCCGCCTCAGCTTCCTGAATGCTGGTACTACTGGCATGCATTTCCATACCTGGCTTCCTATTGGTTAGAAAGCCACCCAGATCATGTTTTTGTTTTGCTTTTTTTTTTTTTTTTTTTTTGTTTTTTTCGAGACAGGGTTTCTCTGTGGCTTTGGAGGCTGTCCTGGAACTCGCTCGGTAGACCAGGCTGGTCTCGAACTCACAGAGATCCGCCTGCCTCTGCCTCCCGAGTGCTGGGATTAAAGGCGTGCGCCACCAATGCCCGGCCCAGATCATGTTTTTGTTTTGCTTTTTTTGGTCTCTATTGGGGATTGAACCCAGGACCTAGGCAAACAGTCTACGCTAACCCTGGCCAGTCTCTGTTATTCTCTCGTGGAAACCTGGACGAATTACAACCTCTCCCTGAGGCCTGGCCTCTGCCCTGCCCCCCTGGATGTCAGACGAGAACTACGTGGTTCAGTTCCAGTGACATCCGGGGACATCCGGGTCCTGTAAAGTGAGCCACTAATATGTCCTACACTGTCCTGGTTTTCCCTAAAGGCCATGCCCTGCCCCAGTCCCAGGCACACCGGGTTGGCTGATGAATCTACACAGCCGGGTTCCACAGCTCCGTGGGACTGCGCTCCTCTGCTCCCAACATGGAGGCCGCGGTCCTCTGAGGGCCCCCAGGATGCCGAGGAGTCCCTTCCCAGACCCCAGAGTCTCCTGGGAAAATCTATTCCCAATAGTGCAGGGGAGGCCTCAGAAGGCACTGGCCACCAATCTAAGAAGTGGGACGTTGGACTGCTCCAAAGCAAGAGCAGCAGAGCTGGCGCCTGCTCATCCTGGAGGCTCCCCCTCCCCGCCCGCGCCTGCCCCCCCTGGATGCTCCCCCTCCCCGCCCGCGCCTGCTCCCCCTGGATGCTCCCCCTCCCCGCCCGCGCCTGCTCCCCCTCCCCGTCCACACCTGCTCATCCTGGAGGCTCCCCCTCCCCGCCCACGCCTGCTCCCCCTCCCCGCCCACACCTGCTCCCCCTGGATGCTCCCCCTCCCCGCCCACGCCTGCTCCCCCTGGAGGCTCCCCCCTCCCCGCCCACCCCGGCAACTCTGTCACCTACCTGCTAGGGCCTGTACAGAGGGCTGGTCATGAGTGCTGAGCAGCTGTGCCTGGATGGTTTCTACCACTCTCTTGAACCGACGGCTGGGACCTAGGGGGTGATGGGCAAATAGGGACTCAGTGGAGGCAGGTAGGTCCCTCCATCAAGCAAGACCGTCCCCCCTCCCCGCCCCTTTTTGTTTTTTGGTTTTTTGAGGCAGGGTTTCTCTATGGCTTTGGAGGCTGTCTTGGAACTACCTCTTGTAGACCAGGCTGGTCTCGAACTCACAGGGACCTGCCTGCCTCTGCCTCACCGGTGCTGGGATTAAAGGCATGCGCCCCACTGCCCAGCTGACACCTTCATTTTAATATAATGACAGGTATTGGTTTCTATTGAAATATATGTTGTTGCTCACTTAACTTTCCTTAAGGATATGAAGAAGAAAAATAAGTGAGGGGCTGGAGAGATGGCTCAGAGGTTAAGAGTACTGGCTGCTCTTCCAGAGGTCCCGAGTTCAATTCCCAGCAACCACAGGGTGGCTCACAACCATCTGTAGTGAGATGGAATGCCCTCTTGTGGCGTAAAGGCATACATGCAGATGGAGCACTCATACATAAAGTAAATCTTAGAAAAGAAAAATGAGTGATTACTGATAACCATGAAATAATTTCTCATCATACACGCCCCTGGGGGGGAAGAAAGCATTGGGGGAGGGGCCTCAGAGAATCAGCACATTCCATGCTGATTTCCTTTTCTTTCTTCCGTCTGTCTGTCTCTCTTTGGTGTTTTGGGATCTACATAATCCCCGAGTGCTGGGATTATGATTTCCTTTTCCTGCTGCCCTACTGTGCTGGTAATCCCACTTAGAGGTCTCGGAACACCCCAGGCTCGTCAGGAGAGACATACCGGAGATGAGAGTAAAGGTGACGGAGTAGATGCCACCTCCACCGCTGCCATCTCTCCGGGGTGAGGGTTCTGGACCCTCGGAGGAG